GAAAGGGCATTCTGGGCAGAGGGCATTTCAGCACAAAGACCCTGACAAAGGAGCATGCCTAGTAGTCATTAGAGACATTGAGGATGTCAATGTAGCTAGAGCAGATGAAGAAAAGTAAGAAGAGTAGGGTGAGTTTAGAGATTTGACGTGGGTTACTGATCAACAGGAACTGGTAGATCATTTTAAAGATGTTGCTTTTACCTGGAATTAAGCAGGAAGCCATTGGAGGATTTCAATGTGACCTTCCTTGAGTGTTAAAAGAATCTGTCTTACTCTTGCACTTGGAATTGATTGAAGAGATCAAGGGTGAAAGCTGGAAGACAAGTTAGCTCATAATTATTGTTGTTCAGGCAGAAGATGCTGGTGGCCCAGATTAGAGTGGTAGTAGCAGAGGTGATGAGAAGTGATCAGGTGCAGGAGAGATTCTGAAGGCAGAGCCAGGGGAATATGCTCCTGTGCAGGTTCAGGCTGTGAGGGAAGGAAAGGATCTTTAAATTTTAGAATCTAGACAGTGTTAAGTATGATATTGCTATCATCTGATACTGAAGGATATGGGTAGAGAAGATAGGAGGTCAGAAATTCAGGTTTGAAAATCCAAGTTTTGAAATATCTGTTAGACACCTAAGTGGAGCTGTGAAGCAAGCAGCTAAATTTATGAGTCTGGAAATTAGGAGAGAAGACTGAACCCAAAATATAAACTTAGCATATAAAGTCACGAAATTTGCTGTGACTAGTGCTCAGTAATCTGATTTTTGTTTAAGAAAAGCCAAAATTTAATATTTCTTCTATGAAACTTTCTAAATTATAAACAAACTGACAGATTGCATTTTCCAGAAGTATCTTGAATCCCACTGCTTTTCCCAGGCCTCACCCACTCCAGCTATAAACTTGTGCTTGGCCTCAGTTACAGCTAACTTAAATAACCACTCTGAGCTTTCTCAAGGGAAACTGCAAAAAAACTTTTTGTTCTAACTAATGCCAATAGAGAAATTGTGCTTACCAGGATGGTGAAAACTAGACTCTGGTTTAATTCTTAGAAATTTCTGCCTCTAGTCTTCAGAGTGGCTCAATCTCCCAAAATCTTATAAAACTGTTGTCCTTCTTTGAAGTTTCTTTGTTGTCAACCCTGCTTTGTATCAGCCGTTAAAGAAAAACATTTTGTTCCTTCATATCTTCATGTGAATAATCTAGTACACCGCAAAATGCAACAATGAAGCCAGAACCATGTACCTCTACAGACTGGACCGTGAGCACTAATGAGGTCCATGGACCACTGTGGACAACTCTTCTTCCCACCTTCTCTTTTGCCTGGATTGTCCATGGTCCCAACTAGCAATGGTCCTTCTCTTTTTGAAAAATTTTGATTTGGGGAAAATTATAAATTTGTATATAAAACTCATATAGAACGTCTGTCATCATTATATTGTTTTTCTTTCCTTCAAGTCCTACCTCTTGATGCTTTTGCTTCAACTCTTCTTTCATCTCACTTCAGACCAGGCACACTCTGCTTTTACAAAGAGGCTTCCAATGTGTCTGCCCTTCTCTTTAAGTCTTTGCTGACACACATACTTTACTAGCTTGTTTGTTCTTCTGGAGAACATGAAGAAAACTGTTGTATTCAGGCTGAAAGCTTTCTTTGTTAAACTTTGTACACCGAAAGATGGCACATTCATTCACATCTGGTTATATGTGAAAAATCTTTAGGATTTTAGAAGATAGATGCTCAGAGCCACTGTCTCCTAGCAATATGAATTAAGCACTCTCCACCTAAAAGTGTGATGGCCCTCACACATAATGCATAGTTTTCACATTGGTAACTCTACACTGTTCTTTTCTTACGTTCATGTCTTAAGTACTCAGTTTATGCCAAGTGTAGGGGAAAAATGCTAGTTAAAATGAGCTGCTTAAAGAATATGGAAATTATATTCATAAACCTGCTCTTTTAAAACAAGCAAATTGGGGTTATGCATCTTTTATTTTGTCTGCAGATAAGTGTCTACAGATGAGTTTGTCTAATCACAATGTGTTTTGGACAAAATGAACCAGTACTCTAAGGCAACTCTATAAGTATTCATTCATTATTTTTTCTCATTTTAGAAATAGTAAAGTTTCTCTTACCTAGGTGTTCATTTTCCTTATCAGAATACATCGTAGGTTGTTTAGAGTGGCCATAAATAAATGAATTTCTAGCCTACATTTTCACTGTTAAACTGTGTTTATTTGTACTACAATACAAAGGTTTGTGTGAGGCTTAGTAAAGACATGTTCAAAGTGAACCAATATTTCTTATACGTCCCCAAGATCCCTCCCCCTACATATCCAACTGAATCTGGCAATCATGAGTTTTAAAATATTTTAAAGTTTAGGTTATAAGAAAAATGTGTGTTGTGTGTGTGTGTTTTGGGGGTGGGGGTGTATTTGTGTGCTGATTTACAAAATGTTTAGATTCTGTTAGTTCGAAGTAATGGAATTCCAAATAGAACTAGCCTGGATGAAATGGGGTTTCGCCTAAAAAGATTTTGTGGTATCTCACAGAATCTAATATAGATTAAAACAGCCAGCCCCCAGGGAGTTCAGGAGTGCAATAAAGTCTTGGGAACAACAGGAAAAAGCCACAAAATATTGTTAGGATCCTCTTCATCTCTCTTTTCTGCTGCATACTGCACCTTAGCACTTTTTTTTCCCTCTCTCTCTCTCTTTCGTTGCAGACATGCTTTCTTCTCATGGCTGAAAATATTGCCACTGAGAACTTCTGAGTTTTCTATTTTATAGCTTTAGCCACCAAAGAGAGGCTGATCAGAACATTCTTGGTGCCAAAACCAAAGGAACTGTAGGATAAGTACCTAATAACCTGTCTTTGCTCAGATTTCTGTTTTTAAAGCAATTAATTTTTTTCGGGGGGTGGGGTGAGGTAAGGAGGCAGTTACACCATTATTCGTAAGTTATGGAATCTGTGTATAGGGGGAGGGGAATGGATGGAATGGTACAGGGTATAGAGGGGTCATGTAAGAATTTAGTTTCAGAGAGGAAAATTTGGAGAAAAGTAAACTTCAAGAGAAACAATATTCAGAAGCAGGGAGATGTGAGCTACCAAAGAAAAAAGTGAGTGGGCCAGGTAGGCAGTCACAAGCTCCCTCTAAGGCTCTCTGTCAGGGCATACCCAGAAGCTGTTGCTTGGATTTTTGATACTGATGCTTCAAGTTTATATAACTCCACACAGCACAAGGTTAGTGCAGAGTGAAGGGGGGTTGGGCAGGTGTGTAGGTACTGTGGTTCATCTGAGTTACAAGCTTCTTTTCCTTTCCAACAAGACCAGGAGCTGGGGGTAGACACCAAGAAGGGTAGAATTTGAGTAGGGAAGGGACTACTTTTTTGTCTATTTACTGATTGTTTTTCGTGAACATGTTCCATAGCAAAATTATTGGGTCCTACTGTTTTTACTGTTCTTTAATCTAAGTTGGTTACCAAGGAGTTACCAATAAGCTCTTCCCAAACATAAGCCTTATCAGCACAATCGAATGTTTGCTGTGCTGAGCAGAAAATTTCTAATACTATGTCTGAACATATGCGGGAATATTAGTTCTGGGCTTTGAAACAATCATTGCTGGAGGGTTTCCTACCTATATAGGTCATTTAATGTAAATCATCTTATTTTTGCTTGGCTCACATTCTCAGTGGTTCCACAATGAATGCTTTTATTGTATTATACCATTTCTGTAACTCGATTGTTTATACCCTTTCTCTTTTAAATTCATGGATTTTTTATAAAGATTGTTTTCAAGAATTTCAGTATTTATCATTGCTTTTACCCTTAATTTTATTCATTACAAATATTGAGCACATGCCAGCTTACCTCTTAGTAGCAACAGAGCCTGCAGTGCTGAGATTTTTAAATTGTGTATGTAAGAGATGGAGAGAATTACATATAGAAAATGGCTGAACTGGGATTCAAATTCAGGTGTATGTGACACTAAAGGTCATGATCTCTGTCCAGAAAAAATGAGCAGTGCCTTTACTCCCCTTAGACCAAGGGACACTTAACATTTCTTTTTCCTATCATTTTTGCAATATAAAATGTTTGTTTTATTTTGTTATGGCGATGCTTTACATCTTGAATTTTCACTTAATCCAGTCCCGGTCCATTATTATCTTATTTGTTAACATCTTTTGTAGTAGCTTTGTGATACCACATTAATTTGATGTACTATACCTTTCCTAAGAAATTCTCTAATCTTACTTATCGTTATTTCTCATGACATAATTTCAAATAATTATAATTAGCTTGCATGCTTTCCATATTTTGAAATATATTAAGATAGTGCCATCTAAATAGGATTGCTGGGTCAATTTATATGAATGTTTCAGAGATTTTTTAAAGTATGTGGTAAAACTATTTTTCATAATAGTTATACTGTTTTCACTAAAGGCCTAATTTTAAGTGTGGCATGGCATTTTTAAAAATGATAAAATTTCCTTGAATGTTAAATGAGTAGTTACCATCTTTTTAAATTTCATGTTGCCTTTTAAATAGTAGTTTAAAATAGATTCCTGGCCATTCTCCAAAAGGGAAACATGAGGACAATGACCTCAATTATCTACACTTTTTCCTTTTCCTTTAGAAATGCAAAACCTTTCTGAAATTTAAAATTACAATCTTTATTCCAAAATGACACTTTATTCTATAGAAAATGAAAAAATCTTACAGACTCCAACCACTTCATATTAACTTTAAGTCAATGAGATTTTGTCTCAATGTTAAAATGCTTAACTTAAATGTCTAAATTGGCTCTGAGCCTTTTATTGCCCAGCAGTACTAGGTGGACCCACCTCTTGAGGTATAATCAAGTATTACTTTGATGTCATTCACGTCTGTCTTAGGTAGAGGAGTATAGCAGAGCATTTTCTACTATCAATTCATGCACTTGGATATGACATTTTGTTTTTCCCTTTATTTTAGCTAACATGGTTTATTTTGGTTGCTTTCCTTTATCTTCTATTAGGTGTTTGCCTAACTACTGTGAACATGGTGGAAGCTGCTCCCAGTCCTGGACCACCTTCTATTGCAACTGCAGTGACACAGGTTACATTGGCACCACCTGCCATCACTGTGAGTAGATTCATGGTTTACCCACAGTGCAATGGGCAAAAATCCAGGAATACAAATGTTATATTTAGGAAGTAGCCAGCATGGGGCAGGCACTTTTTATTTATTAATTCAACATGTATTTCTTGAGATGATACTATGTGCCAAACACTGTAGTGGGCATAGAGGTTACATGGATATAAGCCACATTTTCATGGAATTTATGGTCTATCAAGAAGACAGACAAGAAATGGAATATGTTGAGGTAGAGGAAAGAAAGGTGCTATATAGGTGCACAGAGGGGAGGTATTGAATCAACTGTGTTTTCTTATTGGGTTAAGTTATAGTGTTGTGATAAAAAACCTACCAGCTCAGTGGCCTAAGTAATAAGCAGTTGTGTCATGTTTATGTTACATGGTCATCACACATGTGTAGGGGGCCCTCTTCCACATTGTCCTCACTCTGAAATGCTGACAGAGATTCCATCATCTGGAGGGTTACCATGGCTGGAAGAAGGAAGCACAGGGAAACATGTGATAGTGTATAAAAGCTTCTCCTTAGAGGTGGAAACATTACTTCCACTCATATTCCTTTAGCCAAATAAAGTCAGATGGTCAGAGCTAAATTCAAAAGGGTAAGGAGTCCCATCTTATCATGGGATCTGAGACCACAGAACCAATATTTTGATGATAAGTACCATAACCACGTGTCAATGTTTGAAAAGCTTCAACTAGAAGGCATAAACTAATCTAGTGGTAGGAATACGGTAGGAGAAAAAAAAGGAAACTTAATCTACAAGTAGTTTCACGTAGTTGGAGAATGCTAAAAACGACAAATGTAAGAGAGAAAGCAGAGCGTGAAGCAGGCTGGAACACACAAAGAATAAAGAGTAAGGAATAAAAAGTAAATGAATAATATGAGCCCTAATTACTATAGTTTATAGTCTTGTTATAGTCACCAAACAAAATCACATGTCAACAATGAGAAGGTTTGTCATTTAGAGAATTGTATGCCAAAACATGTGAAATGAAGTATATATAAAATTGAGAAAGACATAATCTGAAGGTGCTGGCATTAGTTGTAGGAAATTTGAAGGAAAACGTGAAATTTGGAATTGATGTAAAAGGTAGGGGAATGGGAAAAAGGCCTTCTAGAAAGATGTAAGATCCATGCCAAGGCTGGAGCTATCTTGAAGGCTGAAGTGAGACAACCTCTCAGAGGCAGATCACACCAGTTTTTCTTGTTTCTGCCATTTCTGGAATATCACTCAGGAATGCAGAAAGGGAATAGTATATGATAGCTGGGATGCAATCAGTCTCTGATATAGGATGAGCAGTGTCAATGTTCTCATTTTCGAAGACCTCTCAGCAATTTTGTAGTCTCTTCTATGCCTTGGAATGTAGCATTCACCAATGATGCCCACTGAAGAAGTAATATCCAAATGGCCGTTATGGGATAACGATGTTATTGCTGTTAGTCACTTGGAAAAACAGATAAAAAAACAAACAAAACAAAACAAAACAAAACACTGTCTGACACTATAATAAAATATCTTATTTAAAATTTTATTTTGAAATTTGGAAGAGCGAAAAAGCACTGGACCAGGAGAGTTTTGATTTAAATTTTACCTACCTTATATACTCAAACAAGTACAAAATTTCATTACTTCAGAGTTCTGTTGCTTTACAGATCTTATGAAGGAAAACTAATGAAATTTTGTGGGCCATTTTGACCTAAAATTACATGTTTTTATTTAAAGTTCCCAATAAATACCAATCTATGTGTGTTTAGTCTGGTTCAAGAAATATTATCCCTAAATAGCCAAGAATAAAATATACTTGTACTATATATAT